AAGGGGGGGGGGTTTATACACATGTACAACAGTAGAACTCACAAACCCACTCGCTATTACCATGCGTTCTGCTTTCGCAACTCAACTCTTGGAGAAATGCAATTTCCACACAAATGAGATCAAAATAAAAAGAAGACAAAATCTGCTCTGCTAGGCGTAAAGAAATAGAAGTGTATAAAATACTCAACAAAGGGATTTCAACATAGGAAAACAACAGCGGTATGATACATTCAACAGGCGCGGTCACTCCTGCACAGACCGGCAAAAGACAACATGGCTTACGTCACTCCCTTCGCTTTTTATAGGGGGATGGCGTGTGCAAGAAAGAAAAGGAGGAAGGGGGGGAGGATTGCTTAAAAAATCAAGCACATGCGAGGTGACGATTGGAAATGGTCTGTGATACAAATTTGGTGAATGGCCATTGGTGAAGACGATAGGGCTTCGGTTCGATCTTGCATGATTTTTAACTTTACGACATAACTTTCTACAGTCACCCCCTGTGAAATAAAACTGGGGTATGGGGAAAGTTAACAAACGCTCGCTCACCTCAACTCCCCCCGCCCCCCTTAACTTCCGCCTTTCCCGCAAGCAAAGAAAGGATTTGGAAGAAAAAAAGTTGTCCAATGTGAACTACACGAAAAAAAATAAAAAAGGGAAAAAATATATGGGAGATCTAAAAATGTACACACATTTGTACCATCTTTCAACTGTTCCAATTTCTTTCTTTTTTTGGGGGTCAGATTGAGATAGCTGAATGTTTTCTACAATCTGTAGTTCAGACTTATAACATATACAAGCTGACTGGATGCAAGATGAGTAACACATAAGCCATATTCAAGCAGGATTAGACAATATTGCTTTCAGCGCCATACAGACGAGCTGAGCTGACACATGTGGACAGATTCGTAAGAACTTGAGTGGTTGTGGCGGTTCCCCGGCTTGGGAGTATTGTCACATGGGCTGGTTCATTCTCGGGTCAAACCAGTCGTGAGTCTGAGTAGGTGTTTTACAGCACAATCGACTCACAAACCAAACGTGTCCGCAGCGTCTAGTTACGTCACAATCACAAGACTGTTCGGTGTGTTGTGCAGCTCATTTATTTACTTGTTGCTTTCAGTGAAGTGGGCAAACTGTTGCTCTGTACACCACACACACAGTGGTGACTTTTTCATCACAATATGACCCGGGAAGAGGGGTGGGGGTGGGGGGGGGGCAGTGTGCGTGCTGGTTCACTCTCTACAAGAAGAAGCCAACAAGGGTCATTATTCATTATGGCGGCATACACAGAGTTTGATGACGTCCCAATCACAAGACTGCCGGGTGCCGGAAGTGGTCCTCTGGCTTGACCAGCACGTAGGCCAGGGGCCGGTGCATGTCCTGAGCGGAGGAGGGCATGTAGGTGGGCGGCATGTAGGGCACCAGGTACTGGCTCAAACCTGCGGCTGCTGCCGCTGCGTGGGCGTGCGCGCTGGGCGAGAGGGCGGAGAGAGATGGGTGGGTGTGTCCACTGAGGTAGGGCGAGTAGAGAGGGGAGGAGCCGAGGCCGGCTGTGTCTGAGTGGTGACGTAGGGCGGACAGGGACGAGACGGGCGATGACGTGGCAGGGTCCAGTTTGGCCGCGGCGGCAGAGTTGGCGGCCGCAGCAGCAGCAGCAGCGGCAGCGGCAGCTTCCAGGTGTGGGTAGAGACCGGCGTAGGAGGAGGTGGGTGGGAAGAAAGAACGAGCCTTGTCGAAGTGGGACGAGGAGGAGGAGCTAGAGGCAGCCAGCAGTTCTGATTGGTGGTGAGAGGCGGCGAGGGAGGCGAACGAGTGTGCCATAGGTCCTAAAGCGCCGCCGTTCATCCCCGGAAGCATCGGGTGTAAGGGAAAGGCGTACTTGTCTTTCTTCATCAAGGATTTCGGCTTTCTGCGCGGCCTGTATTTGTAGTCAGGGTGTTCTTTCATGTGTAGGGCGCGGAGTCGTTTAGCCTCGTCAATGAAGGGCCTTTTCTCCTCTTCTGTTAAAAGCTTCCACTCTGCTCCGAGACGCTTGCTGATCTCAGAGTTGTGCATCTTGGGATTCTCCTGCGCCATCTTGCGTCTCTGGCCTCGTGACCACACCATGAAGGCGTTCATCGGTCGTTTGACGTGATCCAAGTTGGAGGCGGAGTCATTGACGGAGGGCGGGCTCAGACTCCGCCCAGCGTCAGAGCTGGGTGACGTCATGCGGTTAGAAGTGGGAGACAACTCGGGCAGGGACTGGGGAGTCATGATATTTTCGCGGGACCGGAGGCTGTCCTCCACAACGATTGGATGGGACGCCATGACGCGCAGATCCAGGGTGACAGCAGGGGGCGGGGCTTCCCTTGTGATGTGAAGAGGGCGTGGTTTGCGACCTGAGAGAGAAAAAAAAAGATTTTAAAAAAGAATTAAAGACAGTATTATATATTTATATAGGCTGTTTTGTTAGAGTGTATGATTCCCAGTACCTGTAACAAAATGCCACAAACTTTCCTATTTTGTTCAAGTTAGTTCTACTCGTTTACAGAAGACGAAGAAATTACAGAGTGCGCGATTGTAAGTAAAAAAGTAAGTGCTTTGTGTGTGTGTGTGTGTGTGTGTGTGTGTTTATGTATGTGTGTGAGTGTGTGTGTGTGTGTGTTTATGTATGTGTGTGAGTGTGTGTGTGTGTGTTTATGTATGTGTGTGTGT